ATATTTTGATGAATCCGAGACTTGTATGGCTCCCTTTATTAATAAATAAGCCCAAAGAATTCCATGAAGATACTTGCACTATGTAACCTTTATTTCCATAACATGTTATGGCTCTTGCTCTATGTGAAAGGTTACATAAGAGCCATTTACAAGCCTCGTATACATCAGAATATTATCATAAATAAATATTTGTATTTATTCGAATATTATAAATATACAAGTTAATCGTAATTAAAACGAATTATAAAGTTAATAAATATTGTTTATATAATTAACTTTTTAAGTTTAATTAACTGCTAATACTTATGTTATTAATTATATATATATTTAATACTTGAAATGGAAAGTTTTAAAGTAAAAATTATTAAGTTTGATAATTAATTATCGAGAACGAAAAGTAATTATTCTCAAAAGTAGAATTTTTATTTTGGTAATTAAAGTTATGCGATATTTTAAATAAAATAAAGATATTTTAAATAATTTATCTACCGAAAATTTAATAATTGATCTTGTATTATAATTAGAATTTATATACAATAAAACCTGTGTAAACCGGAATCGCACGGTACCGAATACAGTCTACCCCCTATAACACTGTTGATTTTTCCGTTTTATATGAATTCCGTGTTGTACGAGTCACTTAGATTTTACAAATACGTAAGCCGTTCACAGCCCGGCACACGTATTTGTAAAATCTAACTGACTCATACAACATGGAATTCATATAAAACGGAAAAATCAACAGTGTAATGGGGGGTAGACTGTATTTTTACCAGTTTGGCAGGTTTCCGTATTGAACGGATATTTTTAAACATAGAAAATCGCTTAGTTTCGGAGAAATTTTCCCATTACACAGGTTCCGTTTTGGACAGGTTTTACCATACCGTACATATAAATTCTTTGTTAGCTAAATTTTTTATTAATTACAGTGAAACCTGCTAATGTGACCAATGAAGGGACCAAGCTGAAAGTGGTCACCTTACACCTTATGCAAGTTTTACTGTATATTTTTCATCTATAAGATAAATAAAATTGTTATTTACGTGATGAAATTTCCTTTCTTATTAGTGAGAATAACTATCTTAATGTTAGAACTTGATTGTTTAGCTTCCATTATCAAGAACAGTAATGTGCTATTAACGGCTTCTATTGATGACATTTAAGTTTGACCCGATCTTTTACAGTATTTTATGTCTCAAATTAAAAATCCATTCCCTAATATATTTAAAGTTATTCCCAATTCTCTCGAGTTTCTATCTTGTTTAATAACTTTATTCATGAATTTTTTTTTACTAATTTCTTTTCCTTCGTTTCCTGGGGAATTATTTGTTGGTTTTAAGTCTACGATAGTCTATATTCTTCGTTTGATTCAATATAACGATGATGGCCCGCGGTTATTTTCGTTATAAGCAAGATAAACTTGGTCTTACAACAATTTTCTACTGAGCAGTGTCAAAATTAATAAAGATGAATGAGAAATAATGAATTTTTAGGAGTGGTGTTCGATCGGTTAGAAGCAACAAATTTTATTTATATGGTCACTCTTTGACCAAAGTATATAAATCCAAATAACATGTGCAATTCACATACGTTAAAATTCGTTATAACTTTCATTTATCTTATCAAATGTTATAACTTCCTTTAAGTAAAGGATGATAAGTTTCTATGTTGTAATTAATAAATTTAGAAATAATAATAATTCAAAATCAACATTGTGTATCAAGTTAATTTTAGAACTTACTCAAATATAACACTATATTCTTTAAATTTATTTCTTAAAAGATGTAACAAGAACTTGATATTAAAACATTTAAAAATTTTTCAATAATAATAATAATAATAATAATATAATTTTATCATATAAGACAAAAATACAGATTATAAGGATTAATTTCTATCAATTAAGCAGTTATTTGGTAGAGTGGCTAAGACATCAACCTGCTGCTCTGAGGGATCCAAGATCAATAGGGGATCCTGAAAGCATTCAGAGAGGGTTGCAGAGAGGAAACAATACAAGCCTTATATAATTTTTACTACCTGAAGTATCCGACTTTACTTGAGAAAAATTCTAGAAGAGGGTGTAGCTGCTCACTTTTCCCAAATCCGTACCTTTCCAGGATCGAATTTGTGCGGCAACTCCCTAGAATTTTTCTTGGACGGTCTATGCTGAAGATGTTGTGGCCCTCGTTATAGCTTCGTGGAGTTCGGGTGAATTTGAATTAGGGGGCTCTATGTATAGTGTTGACTCCAGACATTTTTCTTCGGGGAAATTTTTTCGGGAAATATTTTTAAAATAAAAGATTAGTTTTGGGCCCTGTAATGGTGGGCCCCAGTCAATTGCCCTTTTTGCCCATAGGATAACTCGCCACTGCTGCCCGAACTCACGATGGATATGGGAGAAAAAAAGGCCTTTTAGTGCCCACAGGGCGTAAAAAGTAGACAACCGAGAAATTAACATTTACTTACATACATTATTGAAAAAATATACAATCCGTATTATTATTAACAGTTAATTAACTATTACAGTTATTTAACATTATATTTTTTTAATGGAAAGTGCTATAATAGATTCCATAATTAGCTATAAATTTCATTATTTAAATTTGAATTAAACTGTACAAATGAATGCAAAAAACGTTGTTAAGAGAAACGACTATTTAAACACAAAATGAAAGAAAAAGGTTTTAATCAATTAAATTCAAAATTTTATCAATTATATCGTAATTATAAATTACAACTTCCTTAAATGATGAATATATTTAATAAATTTTAATCTAATTCTTTAATATTTATAATTTTAAATCTCAATTTCTATGTTTCTTATAAGAAACATGCTGTTAAAGATGTCGCAAGGTTATAATTTTCGTTATTAAACGTATTAATATAATTAAATTTATATATATAACATTTTCAATCTAGCCTATGTAATTCATACGCATGTATACACGATACCAATTATAGAGGTTCAATATCATCTCCAATTATAAGAGGCTAATATCTTCAAATTAGCTTCACATTATATCATCTCGAAATCGATTCTTAAGCAATATAATTAATTAATATTTTTTATTTATCTTATTTATTCTTATTTAATGGAAGATTTCGTTTTATTGTGGTTTATTTCATGTGTTTAAATTAATAAAAAATTAGTGATATATTTCTTTTAATTATAAGTATATTAGAAATGGAAAATTTGATTTAAAAGCTTAGAAAATTGCATGTATAGTAATAACTTATCGCTTCCTCTATGAGTTGTAACGTGATAGGAAATGAAGCGATAGTATATATAGATTCAACCAATCGAAACTTGATTCTCATTTCCGAAATTGTAATTATTGTTACTTAACTTTACATGCAACCAATTGAAGGAACGAATTTTTATTCTTTAAAAAGTTTCCCTTCCCCAAAAAATTCCCTTATAAGTTTAGATCTATTTACATGCTAATTATTTAAATCATATATTTATATACAATATATATTAAGCTATGTTATGGTATATATGTTACATATTTGCATAACAATATTTATATGCTAATTACACTAGAATTAATTATACAGGCTTGTGTTATATGTAATATAATTAAAGGAATTCCTATACAATATTTCTCGTACAGAAATTAAAAAAAAATAAAATTATTTTAAATATAGATTTAATTAATTTCTTTGTCTTTTGATAGTTTATATAATTATAAAAATATGTAGGATAGTAAAATTAAGGTTTAAAAATTTATAATTAAAGACTTGCATTTGTTTATAAAATTAAATAATCAAGTACATGCTTATAAATTAAATATACACGAGTAGTTAAACTTAAATCTAAACCAAGGGAAACGAATAAACAAAATAATTTTTAAAAGCTCTGTTTTAATAAATATTTTATCAGAACCCCCTTAAACAACTTGAATTAATAAAATTAAATTTAAATGCTATTAAGTTTTAAAAGTTTTTTTTAAGTATTTTTTTTTAAATTTAAAAATAAACGAGAAAATAAAGTTAAAGTTCAAATTTGATTTTCTTTGTATATAAGAGAGAAACAGAAATAATTTCCTTTCTTTTATATAAAGTAGGATTTACTTTGAGGTAAACATTATTTTAAGGAAGAGGGGGAAAAAAGGGAAAATAATAATAAAAAAATGATTGATCGACTCTTGAGTAAATGGTTTTCTGAATGATATGTTAGTTCCTTTTTAACTATTTATCTTAACATAAAATTATTCAGTTCCATTGTCTTAAAACATGCCAGAATTTCAAATAAAATGCTTTTTTTAAAGTATTTCTTTATGTGGTAAAAATGGCAAATGAAAATTTAATATTCTAACTTATATATAAAAAAAACATATTAAATGTGCTTTTTATTCATTTATAAATTTTAAGTTTTAATAAGTATAAAATTATAGAATTTTAATGTATGTAACGTGTACATTTTTTAAATAATTCCTTCAAATTGATGCTATGTTGGAAGTTGGATGATCTTTTATACAAAACATGCAGCATTCATTTAATTATTAGTATTATTTTAACGTATTTTAACATCGAATTTTTAATTAAGAAACTTTAAAAATCAAAAAAATCATTCGAATAATTTAATATATTTCAATATGGGAATTTATTATAATTGAATTTATAAATAAAGTTAATTTTATTATCACTCGAACAAAACCTTTAAATCATACTTCTTGATTTTATAAAACAGTAAATATTATTTTATTAAATTACTTCTCTGAACAGTTTTTTTTTTATAAAAAATCTACTTTATGTCACACTCATTCAATCAAGAAAATGACTTTTTATTAATTTAATATTTTATGAGTTAATTTTCTGAAAAATTCGTGTGAATTAAATATGAACTGTACTTTTTGTAATGTAATTTTTACATTAGAGTAAGCAAATTTATTTAAATTGAAAAATAGTATATAAAATTATTACTATTTTATTTGAAAGAATCCATATTTTGTGACTTGTTTGAAGTAAGATTGTAGGCCTATATTAAATTGGAGGAACTATGGACAAGTCTCATCATCATCATCATCATCATCATCATCGTCATCATCTGCTTCATCAACAATTTGGATTAAGTCTTAAACCCAGCTTTATTTATATTTAGAATGTTCTTGACCTACTTTTGCGAGGGTCCACATCCATCTCTCTTTCCAAAGATTTATATCCAAAGGCCAATTTCGATAAGCAGTTGTTGTCCATTCTAATTACAGAATCTTTCCATTTTATCTGGAAGGATTTAATGTTATCCACCATATTGTCTACTTCTAGTTTTCTTCTAATATCCAAATTACACGCTGATGTAATTTAGTAAGATGTAGTAATTGTCTGAAAAATTTGATATCCTCATCTTCCAAATTTAGAGCATCTCTTTTAATTAGAGATAGGAACAAATCTTATTAAATAGTCATTATATATTTTGTATTTATTAATGAAAGTTAAGGGGATTAACAATCTTTATTCAACTGGGAAAAAATTTATTGTTCAGAATTTATTCAACTCTAAGCATTGAGATTAGATAAACAATGTCATAAAATAGAATTCTTCTAAACAAACACATGAAATTTGTTCCTTTGAAAAAAAGTAAGGCTTACGTTTACTTACAGTTATAATGAGAACATCAGTCTTTTTCCTGAAAGCAGTATATATATATATATATATATATTTTTTTCTTTTTACAGTTTGTTTCACAGCTGGGTGCTACTAAAAAAAACTGTTCTTTCATACTGAAAAAGTTGAGTTTTGGGAGTAGGGTGTGATTACAGTTTCGTACCAATTAAATTTGTTTTTTTGCTGAAATAATATGAATTCTGTTGCAAGAAAGTTTATTTCTACTTGTTTTTCTTTATTCTTAACAAAGAACATCTTGATTGTTACATGTTTTTGTATGGCTTCATTAAAAATGGTTTTAAGTACATAAAAAGTAAAAAGAAATTATATAATAAAATTGTTATATAAATTTGTAAAAGAAATTAACTTTTATAATTATCACTATTAAAAATAAATAGAATTTATTTTAGGACGTTAAATTAAATAATAATAATAATAAAATTCTTATGAAATTAGGTGGTCCTCTGTGATTTACGTAAGATACATTAAAATATAGTTTAATAAAGATTGATTGGTGTTCTTAATGATAATTGTTTGGGAAAAAGTAAAGAAAATCTAAAATTTACATATTTTTTCCTTTATTTTTCATTATTTCAACTGATCAATTTTGACGTTATACAATATCTTAACTAATCTTTTTCGAAATAAATGTCGACTGACGAAAATATATTTAAGCAAATCACATTTAGACCATAAAATTACATATATTATTTAAATTTATCTGTTTTATTATCTTCCAAAATTATTATATTCATTTAATTAATACTAAAATTAATTTCCTATTAAAAGTCTTTATATATCTTAAATTTAAAACTTTAATTCTGTGTCTGTCTGTAACTTAATAAGAATATTCAATTATTTTCCTAATTAATCCTTGATGTATATATTACATAAGATGAATTAATTATAAAAATGGCATTAACATCATCAAATATTGCTGTAAAGACTATCAAAATCATTGTAAATGTATTTTTAGAAGCTATCTTCTAAGCTTGCTTTATGATAATTTATCCATTTTATTTATAGTAAATGTGATAAAATAAGAGAATTTTTAAAGTATATATCAAAATTTCTTTAATTTAATCCCATGCAACTATTGTTTCTATTCTTGTAAGCCATTAACATGTTCTTAATATTACACTTTGTTTAAAAATTTTTAAAAATAATTTAAATGACTCGTAATGTCTGTTATTACGACTTAGATTAACTCATAAAATTCTGTTAGTGGCAGGAATTCTTATTTTCATATACAAACAGATAAGTCAGAATATGTTAAGTAAGTAAATAAATCACTATCATGATATTTACAATTATAAACGATATATAATTAATTTCATTTTAATCATAATTATAATGAAATAATTCTTTAAAAGCATTGTAATTAATTACATAGCAAATTAATTTACTCGATATTTATTAATATAATCCCTTACAACTGACATATAATAATGAGTATAATATTTAAAAAATTCTTATCAAAAATACATTTTTGTATGGATAGAAAACAAATTAATCAAATTGTATTTGATCTCAAGTGTAAAAGAATATATAAAAAATAATAATAATGTTTTTTTCTGTTAAATATTTTCATAAATTGAATAATAATACATTAAATGATTAAAAAATTTCGTAATCAGCAAATTAAAATTAAGAGAAAAATTACATTCTTACTGTTTAATCGAATGTGAACAATTCTCACAGGGACGTAAGAAAAACTTTACTTTGTTGTAATTATATGACACATTAAGAAAAGAACCATAAAAATTTCTTTTTTCCCTGGTTATTTTTGTGATAAATTAAAAGATAGCATAGAAAAACCTTATTAAAATGCCAATTACTATCTATTACTTAGTGTTAGAACAGTTATGTTTAAGTTGGTTAGATGCAATTTGTTGATTACTCTTTTATTTTTAAATTTATCTTCACAGAAAATCTGAATAAATTTTTTTAATATAAAAAAAGTAAAAAAAAACCATGTAAATATTTTTTACTAAAGTAAACAATAAAAAAATTGTTTTTATGTTATGTTATTCTTTACAGAATTC